TTGACTGCTGCATGAAGAAAATCGCAGGAAATGACGACAGAACAGCTAAAAAAGACATCTCACAGCGTGTCAGATTTTGGTTATTTTGGGGAGGTCGAGATAAATCATATTGTTTGGTGGATGCAGTTTGAACCAGAGTAGCAGCATGGAGGTCGGATCGTCACCAAAATAAATAAATAATAAGTGGTCCGAAAAAGGTTAATGACAAAAAAAATACACATAGCCTAAGCTTCCTCAGGCAGTGTGTTTGTACCGGGGACAGGAGACACCCGCCATGATGAGAAACTGTAAGAAGTGATCAGGGAATCCCTCCGGAGTGGAGTCATGACGACTGGATCTGAAGTGCAGGGGTAAAGTGCTATTTTTTACAAGTGGGGGGTGGACCGAACATCCTTTAGGGGGGGTCTTCGCCTCCTCTAGGGGGGTCCTGGGGCATGCTCCCCCGGGAAGATTTGTTTTTAAATATTGAAGTTAAAAGCATCAATCTGTTGCACTTTGAGAGCAACATTAACCCTACCTTAATCATACCTTAAAGCGGACAAAAGGCACTGGAGAACACTTATTCATTAACACCCTTTAATGAAGCAAACTAATGCCTTAACGTTAACCCTTCATACCTCAGACGGCCGGCAAAAATCACTGACTGTGTGAACGTGAAAATGAATAGAATATCACCTCCCATCTTCAGAGCAATCTGACTATTATAACATTAGCGTTAAGAAAGCTTACTTAAATATCTGCCACAACATAAGTAACCGGATCAAAGTAACATTATGTAGCCTACAGTCCGTGGCACTGTGAGTGCAGACGTCGATGTGTCCCATTATCATTCATATCATATCACATCATAATGTATAACATATTTCCGAGTCAGCTGAGCCGTGTCTGGGCTTGCAACACTCCTTGTGTCACATACTGTATGCAGAAGTATTATTTTAAGCAACACATTAAGTTGACGAAACACTCGAGTCAAATGTAATTAAAGTCAGATTGTGTATCATAAACCTGTTAATGTACGCATTCAAACACTTTTTCTGTTACCAGCTGTATTCACCTTGCAGATGGCTTTGATCCTGGATAAAGTGTTTAAGTCATGGATGTTTAAAGTTTAACTTCATCATATTTGACTAATATTATAGTTGACTTTTCATTCAGGAAGTATGACGCTGCGCTGTCAGTACACTTCTCCATGTTTGTGATTGGCCGAATGCTCCAGATACCACCCATTTTATGTGAACGCGCACCTAACTAGATAGGACACGGCTGGCTTGAGCGATCGAGTTGATAGCCAGCGTCGTAGGACAGTTTAGCGAGAGCGGGTTTGTTTTGGATTAAGTCAACCGGATAACTCAAAACATATCCAGGATATGTTGAACTAGATTCGTAGTATAGGCCCCAGGTTAGCCGTTCAGCATAATTTACCATGGAGATCCAGCCCGTTAAAACGTGAACCAGTGTCGTAGGACCAGAAACCCAGAGTTTTCCCTGAAGTTAGCTTGCTAAGTGAAAATTCGGCTTCGTAGTACAGGCCTCAGGACTCCAGCTGTGACCGGCCAACACAGACTTCTGACTTCATTATAACGTATGAATATTACACAAGATGTGCCATCTTTAACCAGAGTCTATATTTTATAGCTGATCAGGTTAGAGTCTCATATGTTTTTTTTTGTGATCGAAAGTCTGTTTGGCCTCTTCAGCTAGGAACAGCGAACGCTAAAATAAATAGTTCAATGGATCAGGAAATGTGCTTAGCAATAGTTTGACATTGTTTGCCAAATGCATATTATTTGCTTTTCTCACACAGTGAGTTAAGATCTATACCAATATCTTCATCTCTCAGTAAGAAAGCACATTATTGCATTAGGTAATAAATGTCAAACTATTTTTTAATCTTCCGGGTCACATCCTGTCACAAGCTCTTCACAAAAAGCATTTGGGGAACACATAGCAAAATCTATGAAAAAAAGGACGACGGAAACAAATAAATGTTTTTGCTTCTATTCTGTACAGTTCTATTGAGTTAGAAGTTCAGTCTGGTGCTTTGTGTTTATACAGTGAATTTAAGAAAATCTATTAATACTAAGGTGACACTTACAATACAGAATCAGTGTGTTCCGATGCAACTGCATTCTGATTCAGATGTGGACACCGAATGTGGTACATTGGTATATACACAAACACACACAAGTATAGATGACAAAGACAACAAGTGCACACATACAGCTTCTCTCCAGTCTGAGGCACTCCCTATAGTTAGGTTAGGTGGTACATTGAAAAAAAATCTCAATATTTTCAATCCATGGAACTACCAGAGTCATCATATCTTAAGAATAACCATCCTTTGGAAATTCCTCGGAAGACGTCTTAAAAAGCTGCATGTTTTATATTCAAAAAATACCTTTCACTCTTTAGTGTTTGGTTTGGGAGTCAAGTCTGCATCCGAGAAAACCCTCTGTGTCCCTCTGTCCAGAGACAACCCTCTGTGTCCCCCTGTCCAGAGAAAACCCTCTGTGTCCCTCTGTCCAGAGACAATCTTCAGGAGTCTGAGAAAAACAAAAGTCTTCATCCATCTGATCAGCTTCCCCAGTCTTTGTTCCTCTCTTCAACGGATGCTCTTTAACAGAGTACGTAAAGATAAGTGCATCATGGGACCTTCCCTTCAAAATAAAATAAGTACAGAAAAAATGTAATCCGCCTGTGATGCAGCAAGTCTCCAGAGGGGTCAAAAGTCATATTTTCTCATCGGTCATCTCCAGGAACTGAGCGTACACGTCTCTAGAACACTCTCCTTTCTGGTTGAACAGGAACTTGTAGTAGCTGCCGTCAGCACAAATGGCTGCAGAGTGGAAGAGAGAAGCGAGAGCAGAATACACTCAGTCAGCAAGAGGAGGGTTTATTTGAGTACTACAGGGACACAAAGAGCGAAGTACAGTACACAGCTTTTTGGACTGTTGGACTCTGGAGGAGACACCTTGAATTAGTCCTGATGCTACTTCACTGCCAGAACAGAAACAACTAAGTTTCCCCTCACCAGAATACACTTCAGTCACATGATATGGATTATTATATAGGGTTGGATTTTGTACGTTAATGTAGTGCCCATTGATGGCATTTTCCCACATGGGAAGGCAGCTTCACGTCTTGATATGTAAAAAATGTGAGTGATATTGACACAGCTGTACAGAATGCTGTTAGGCTGAACAAAAACAATACATGTGATAATCATGTGACTGGTTCTCTTAGTTTCCCATGTTAATAGTGCTGCAGTGATAATGTATAGTAGGACGACCCGGATGGTAGCATCACAAGGGCTCCCTCGAGTAAAAGCAATGGGATTATTTCATGATTTTGAAATATTGCAGAAAGTAAGATCAGTGGCAAACACATTTTTACGATACTTACACATTTTGGAGAATCTTCACATATTAACAGCCCTTTATGATTTTTTAAGCGTAAATGCAATCACCAGAAGTAAAAAGCTAATGATAGGATACAAGCAAAGTATGTGTGTTTTTATGACACATAGAAGCTTCAGACATTCACCAGTGGGTTATTTACCGACGTATTTTACGTCTTATTAGAAAAGGGAAAATCTAGCCAAAAATATGTTCCAAAATCCATTGACTTTTGAGTCGAGGAAACCAAAGTGCTAAAATGCTGACTCATTCCCTGGTTTTATCTTATTTATTCTCATTCTTACACCACGTGATAACATGGTTTGTTTACAGCCCATGTGATTTTTTTCCTTGACCTGTCTTACTTCTTTTTAGTGATGTTACTTTGATTTGAAAGGACGGCTTAAACCCTCAAAATAAAACACAATTCATGCAGAAATGTGATGTCAGCAGTAGTTTTCCTCATAATGACACCCACAGAGTGTGAGGGAACTTACCCATTACAGCGTTGGGCTCTGTTCCAAAGGCACACACACAGGGGGAGCCTGAGGGCACCTGGAACTTGGAGAAGCTCCACTTGGAGCTGAAGTATTTGGGAAGAAAGCTGGCTGAGGCCAAACTGCAGAGAGAAGGACACATAATTAATCCGGACACAAGTTCGCAGACAAAGTCCTCAAAGTTATTGTGACTGTTATTTTGTATATATTGATTGTTGTGCTTTTATATATGTATGTATATGTATATACAGGGGTGCACATAACTTTCTCAGTGAGGTACTCAGATGAGTACCTGGAGTCAGTGTTTGGTACTCCAACTTCTGGCTCCACTCACAACCACAAGGGCGGGGGTGCTAGTGGAGTACTTCAGGAAAGTCGACGGGGGGGGGGGGGGGGCTAGTGGAGTACTTCGTGACCAGAGTGTGAACGTTGTGATCAGCTGTTTTAGCGCAGTTCTCCAGTGAAGGGGGAGAGTCTCCCTCCGCAGCCGGTTGGCGTAGTTTTGGCACAATTCCGTTGTACAGACCGACGTTAACAGCAGCCCTGTCTGTGGATGAGAGCACGGATGTAGCAAATGTCGCAGAATTGCTTGCATACATCAGATTTATTTCAGAAGACAACTTTGTTGAGGAAATATTATTTT